TTTCTTGTAAACACATATTGCCTGATATTTACGGCATTAGTCAAGACTTTATTTATTTAATAAATCGTTTTTCATTAAAAAGTTGAATCTCCTTGAGAGATATTAATTTCTAATTATCTGCAAGTGATCTATCCCTAATATCGAACCCAACCGCTCGGGTCTATAACATATTTCACATTTCCGTAGATTGTCCCCTGATTGAAAATCTAAACCGCAAACCAACTCCTTTTTTCTCATTCTCTTCAAATCAGCTTCATTTACATGCCCCAAAATACTATGCCATGTCTCTTATTTATTGCCAGAATTCCCTTCACGTGCCACACCAGCTACGCACCCAGTTTTTTTCTTCTCTTCGACAAAATATAAATTTCTTTTTCTTTCTGCTCTCAATACAACTTCACCTTTCTCATTGGCGACAATAGCATTATTCTTATGAAAAAGAACTTGATGTCCATGGTCCGTGATCTTGGAAACTGATAACAAATTTGTCCTTAGATCTGACACATAGTAAACGTTTTCCAATCTCAAACGGCGCTCCTCGTCCCCTTGTTTCATTGATAATTTTACCTCTCCAACACCGGAAATCACAGTGGTGTTATCATTCGCATGGCTCAACGACTTATTTAACTCAGAAAAATTTGTAAAAATGCCTCTCGCCGAGACCATGTGTGAAAAGCATCCACTATCCAAACACGAACGAGACATTTTTGACTGTGAAATCCCATTTAAAAACGCCGTTTCCTCTGCAAATTCGGCCTGACTATCAGTTTCCGAAACACTACCACCCTCATCCACTTGTCTGACGGACTGTGAAGAGCGTGCTGATCGTGACACTGGGAATCTGGAAAGACAAAACCTTGCAATATGACCTACCTCTTGACACCTATCACATACAATGCCTCGTTCCGACTCACCTGATCTGCCAGCACCATGCTGAGGCTGCTGATCAAAAAACTGTCCTCTCGCATGACTCGTAAAACGTCGATTATTATTCGAGAAATTCCTTCTGTAATTACGAGTACCTCCTCGAGCATATAAAACGTCATCTCCACTCGGAACCTCCTTCCCAAAAGATGTATCCGACTCAAAATCCTCTAAAATTTTCACCATCATCACCTGAGGCTCCGGCATATCATCTCTCGAAGTATTCACCTTTTTGAACATATCAAACGAAGAGGGCAAAGTCTTCCACAAGAAAATTGACAACAGCTCCTTGTTAATTTCAATACCAATTTCGCTCAGCTTATCAACAGCCTCCATAAAGTCATCCAGATGAGATTTAAGATTTTCTCCTTCACACATTCTCATTGACACAATCCTCTGAAGCAACGACGCCTTTCGTGCTGGTCCTCTAGACTGATATACGGTCTTCAATTTTCCCCAAGCTGCAGCTGACGTTCTACAATGTTTCAGATGCTTTTTCTCTGAGCGTGAAACTGACAAAAGAATATCAGCTAAGGCCTTTTCATCTTCCTTTATCCAAGTTGTAATCGCGGCAGCATCACTACCAGTCGGTGGCTTTGGTTTATCCCCACTGACATAACCCCAAAGATCTCCCTTCACCAAAACTGCCTTTATATCTATCACCCATGTATCATAATTATCTTTATCCAATTTCGTCACCGTATAGGATGGTTTTTCCATTTTCACTCAATTTTAATTAACAAGCCCCGGTCCGTATAAAAGTCAACGGTTCTCCCCCTATAAAATATACGTTTTACCCACAAAGGCCCATAATCTGTTGGAAGCGAGTATTGATAATTAACCTCCATAGATTCGGTTGAATTGATTGACTTTAATTGATGATGGTTGAGATTATAATGGATATAAAAGTGAGATATTCACATGGTGAGGAGAACGTGGTACAAGCTGAGATGCCGAGCGAAGCAATTCAATAGATCCGCGTAGACCACTACTTTATCTGCCCGCGCCGATAAGTAAATCCTTCTTTATAGCTCAAAATACATTGGTATTACAACAGTAACGTCAGAGGGTGGTCCTGCAGAGTTGCTTCCTTGGAGACGGGTCCTGAAGAGTGAACTGGATGACGAGCAAGGTACCACTTGAAGATTTCGAGCCGACTTTATTTGGCGAAAAACTGCCCTTTATATACTATTCAGGCGTAATTCCACAACGACCGTTAGCATTTTGAAATTCCGTAATCCAACGTTTTTTTGAGGTGTGGTGAGAGGCATCTTCATGTGTTTAATAATGTATTCAAAACTGATGTTTCTAGGCGATGTACCCTCACCCTGGTGTTACCTCCCATTTCCCCAGGTGCGGGAGAAATTTTTGAAGAAAAGAAGGGACTATTGCCTTTCAGCCTCTCTCTAAATAATTTTCTTCTAATGTGGAAAGTGGCATGTGTACGCATTTTTCTGACTTTCATAGCCTATAAATTTTACACCTCTTTTGACGATGGATAACTATTATTCATTAGAAGACTCGCGTGTGGAATGGAGTGCACCCTTTGAGGCTGGAGCTGTCCTCTTATTTGGACAACAAGAAATCATCTGGTCAATTGTGCCAATTCCTGGAAACCACCTCATAACTTTCATTGGATATGGGGTGCAGGTGACGTCATGGTCTCCGTCAACCCCCTGTAACCAATGGAGGAAAGCACTCGGGGCAGAAGTACCCCTATTGATCTGCCTTTTCTTTTGTCGATATAGGCGAACCCGTGATTGAGGTGGTTCGTTCCTAAAATGCCGAAATTTTTAATTCTTTGGGGCAGCTCCCATCTGCGGTTAACATTGGAGGGTTGTTTATCTTATTCGCCCCCAGATTCAATAAAGGAAAGAAAAGAAGTGAAAAGGATCTCTTTAGTGGTGCCTTCGAGCAATTGTATGGCTTCTTTTTAAATGATTCGTGGTTTCCAGGTATCATCCCCTTGATGGTCGCTGCTTAACACCTCTCAGGCCATAATGATAGCCACTTGTATACCTGCCAGGTAGTCCCTTTTATTGTGGTTACCTTGCATAATCGATATTTAAACTGGAGATACCGGAATTCCTCACTATTATGTGAAGTTTTTCCTAAGCTCCCTCTTTTTGTGTTGGTATACCAAGTTATCAAATACATAAAAAATTAAGCGTCGTAAACTGCAGCGTCTGCAATACCCCGAGCTACCTGGAGTTTGTCCATCTCTGGCCTAAAATATTGACAATCTTATTGTTTGCACAATTCAGAATTCAATCATAGAAGGGAAGTTTATATAGCGTTCCACATTCTATTTGTGACGTCATAGGAGTCGTTGGATAGGATTTGGATGAGGTAGGAAGGGGAACAGGATAATTCTCCATATAATTTTTGCGAGAAAAATTACTGAAGAAATGGATAGTCCAGACCGGGACTTGAACCCGGGACCTTCCGATTATGCATCGGGTGCTCTCCCAACTGAGCTATCCGGCTCCTAGCCATTTCTTCTATTCACTTTTCTTGCCTATATATGGAGCACCGCCGTCCTTCATACGGCAAACATTTTTACATCATAGAAGGGAAGTTTATATAGCGTTCCACATTCTATTTGTGACATCATAGGAGTCGTTGGATAGGATTTGGATGAGGTAGGAAGGGGAACAGGATAATTCTCCATATAATTTTTGCGAGAAAAATTACTGAAAAAATGGATAGTCCAGACCGGGACTTGAACCCGGGACCTTCCGATTATGCATCGGGTGCTCTCCCAACTGAGCTATCCGGCTCCTAACCATTTCTTCTATTCTGAATTCTTTTCAATTCAATTCGTTTGCACAACTCAGTGAATTGAAGGGGAAAAATTAGGCGCGCCAAGTTGACTTTTTTCCGAATCAATTTCCTATGGACGGGGTTTGAACCAGTATATTTTGTCATTAGGCCGAAAAAAACTTTTCTAGCGACGATGAGGTTTGCAACAATCATATTGGTCGACAAATTTTTTTTGGCCGTATGACGCCTACTATTTTTTGTTATAACAGCCGTAGTCAGAATTTCGTGGACGCGACGCAAAGCAACGCAGCCGTAAAACACTGTCTTCCAGCCGGAATGACAAAAGCCTTTATTAACAATAATCGATTTTCCAATCGGAACTAAAACTGCGGAAAATTGTCCTAGTTGACGCTGTCAGCATAAACTTGGCATTTTTTAATATTTCCATGTTTTTTTAAAAATAAGATTATATCATTATCAGTTCGCCTACTGTGTGATTTCAACTATTCAGTAATTGTCCCTTATATCTGTCTTGGAGGCGATCAGATTCACGTCGACTTGGCGCCATTTTTTCACCAAATTTTTTTGTGATTTTTTAAATTTAATTCCTTTCTCCGTAGATACAAACATTAAAAATTTTAACTTTTTCTGCTTGAATATTCATATGTGTTTTAGTATTCTATCTTAAGCATCATATTTATATATTTTTTATTTTTAACATATCTTTAACATATTTTTGAACGCATTTTTGGAATATGTAATATTCACTGTTGACAATGCTACACGAAGATGAGTGAAAACGTACCTGTAAGTTTAAACCGATCGCTTCTTTTATTATGTACTCTGTCATGTAGCTGTAGTCCATTGTGGGAATCGTTGTCGTAGGGAAAAGGTCTGTTGTAATGCCGGTAAACAATGCAACATCATCTACTGCCAATTTAGCGGCATTCATATCCTTCATGGCAAGAATGATAACCTAAATCATATTGAATAGAATGTAACAACAGTACCATGAATAATGGGTATAATGGTAATAAGGTGATGCTGTAGTGAAAGTTGTGAAAATAATAAGTTTCAAATTATTGTTTACTTCTTCAATTTCCTGCAAGGATGCATATGCCGATTATATAAAAACAGTAATGATATTATAGAAACATTTCCACTGAATATTGGCACACCTCCGGCCTTTGAATTTCAAAAGTTACCCCTTTATTTTTTTTTATTTGGGAGTATAGTCCAAATGACGGGAAATGAGAGCACGTGGAAGTCTCTATCTTAAGTCCTAGCGAAGATATCGGCAATGTTTTTTCATGTCCCAGCGGGAGTAAAAAGCGCCATCCTAATCACGCTTCGCTCGGTTCGATCGCGCTTTTTATCTCTTGGGACATAAGGTCGAGCACCACAGTCGAGAAGTGTTTTCTCCCTGGGGTACATAATATGCTACGGGACGATCAACCGAGCCCGCCGAAGTTGATCTGTATTATACGAGTGTCTCGCCCGAGAGATTACGAAGTGTAGTAACGTTATGCCTTGCACGTCACAATTTTAAAGCAAAAATAAAATTAAAATTTTTGAAGATCAACTGCTCGCCAGGCGGGCTCTGAGGGCTCGGTTGACCGTTCCATTATACTCCGTGTCCCGCCCTTAGAGATTACAAAGTGTGGATCTATAGAGCTTCTACATTATATTTCATAATTTTTGACATCGATTGCGATATGTCCTACCACATAATCGAAATAATTGTAGAATTACTCTTGATTCCCCCTTTTTTGTTTTGTAAATTTCCATTTCTTGGTTTCATACATAATAATATTGGTAGGATAAAAGTACTAATCCAGTAAACAAACTCCAAGTTTCCCCTATTTTTTAGGGATCAATACCACACTGGCAGACAATTGGTCTGCAATAAAAGTTTGTAAACACCTTCGATTTTTGGGACCAATCTGCGACTCTCGTGATTTTCTGAATGCTAACGCCCCTATCAGCTGCCTTCGAGGTTGAGGCGTGTCTTGTGCTGTGCGCTGTAAGCTTTTTATCAACGGTCAGTATTTCGAGTGAATTTTTTATCCCCCAACCTATTGTATCCTCTTTAATTGCGCGATGCGGTTTATTTAAAGAAATCAAGAGTCTCGTCTCTCCATTCCTCAAACTCGTGGTTTTGTTGAAATAAAATTTCAATGTTCTAGCTAAACGTAGACATGGACTATCTTGCAAGAATGGTAGTCTCAGTGTTGGTTCAACAGTGCCCTTTTTTGAAGTTTTTATTTTATCCGGAATTTTTATAGCGATGCCCTCTGTTTTTTCTGTTATATCGGAAATCTTGATTGTTACAAATGTTCGAAGCCTGTGAGCAGTTCCCAGAGCTAATAGGAACGTCAGTTTATGTGATAATGCTTTTAGTGAAAGTGTTTGTAACGGGTACCACTTGGGAAGCCCTTCCAGTACTGGATCGACGCCCCATGTCCAATCCTATTTTGGGGCGCTCGGTTTTTCCTTGACTACTCCTCTGATAAACCTGGTGATGAAAGGATCTCGAGAGATGTTCTCCACAGAAATAAGAGCAAGAACTGCTCGAGCCGAATTGAGAGTTCCCCCTTTTGCTTTGCTGTCAAACCGTGTTGATAAAAATTGTAGCACTCTATTTCTGGAAACGTCCAAGGGGTCCTGGGATTTTTCATTAATAAAATCCCACCAGAGTTTGAGAGGAGAGTTGTAGTGTTTTAACGTGGATTTTTCCAACGATGAGATTAGTACATCTATCGCCTTTTCTGGCGAATTCCTTTTCAAAACCGATTGGCGCACACATTGGCGACAACCATGGTAAGTTTTTCTGACAACGGGTGAGGTGCTGACCCGTCAGGAGATATCAATAGGTTTGGGTTAGAATCAAGAATCAGCCAGTCACCTTGAGCAAATTTCTGAAAGACTGGAAACCACATTTGACTTCTCCACAGAGAGACGATAAGAATACCCGAGGCTCTATCATTCTCGATTTTTTGCAGAACTTTAGGGATAATTGCAAGTGGGGAAAAGCGGAGAATTTTAATTCTGACCAGTTAATTGTGAAGACATTTGCCACCAGGGCGCCAAGGTCTTTCCTCCACTAGCAATATATTCTGAATTTTGTATTTGCTCTTGATGTAAGTAAGTCAATGTCAAGTGTTCCAAAATTCTTTGTAATTAAGTAAAAATCCTGATCTGCTAATTGTCGTTCTGTATCTCCGGACAAAGTGTCCGTTTCTTGATTTTCTTTCGAGGCAATGTATTCGGCGCAAACCGATAATTTGTGGGTTTCGCACCAATTCCAAAGTTCTCTGGCGAACTCATCGAGTGAATCGACTTTTATTCCTCCCAGTCTGTTAATATACGTGATCGCGGTCGTATTGTCGACTCTCAAGAGAACTTCACAGTCATAAAGGTTGTTATAGAAAAGCTTGAGGGCCAGAAGGGCTGCTTTTAATTCGAGATGATTAATATCAGGTGTCTTTCGTTCTCTTTCCAACTACCATGAGCCCCTTCTCCATTGTAGAAAGCACCCTAGCCGGATCGAAACGTCTCTGAGAAGATTTCTCGCTCAAAGTGGAATTTTCTTATGGCTCTCTCAGATTTCCTCCACCATTCTAAATCTGGTCTGACTGACTCTGGAATGATCATTTTACTCTCGAAATTCATATTTTTGTTTGCAAGAGGCCGTATTCTACCTCTGAGCAGCTCGAAATCAATGTCCCTATCAATTGTGCAAACTCATTGATGTTACAGGACTTCTTTTCGTCGAAAGATTTGAGTAATGTTCGAATATGGGACTTTTTTCCCTCTGGCAGCGTCACTGTCATCTCCTCAGAATTTAGCATGAATCGCAGGTATTTGCAAATTGTGTTGGGAGTCAGAGATGATTTTTCCCAATTGATTGAAAATCCTAATGACTGAGGTAAATGCCAGGAAGTAGTTAGGTTCGAATGACCCACGACAGCTGATTCTCCAAAGCAAAGTAGATCATCAAGTTAAATTATCGATAAAAAACCATGTTCTCTAAGATACTCCACCATGGGTTTCATTAATTTTATAAAAACAAAAGGGCTTGTTGAAAGTCCAAACGGTAAACAAGTGAATTCAAATAATTGATTGTTAAAAACAAAACGTAGAATTTTCGATTGCTCTGTTTTACCGGTATTAAAAAATAGGCATTTTTTAGATCTAAAGTCTCCTCAAACATGTCTTGCCTTAAAGATATTATGGCGTGATCAGGGGAGGTCTCAAAAATGTAGAGAAAAATCTGAAATGTTCAAGAGATATTCTTTGTAATATACCGAAAAGGTATAAAAAATTTTAGATTTTTAGCAACCCTAGTTTCAACGCTATTAATTTATGAAAAAATGCCATTTAACATGGGCTCTTATAGAAAAATCCCAAAAATGCTCAAATAAAAAAAAAATACAGCCATTAACGTGAAACTTGGCACACTGAGAAAATCTATTCACATGAACCCATTGCGAAAAATTTTATGTTCAGTTCGAGCATTATTGTCTAATAATTATCCAAAAACTTGTAAAATGAGTTATTTCAGCGCGCGCAACTCGAAATGATGGCAGCGTCGCAACGAACTACGGAGTGGGGAGTAAACGCGGCTAATTTAAACTAATTCAAACACATACGAGAGAAGAGTCGTGCATTCTCTTTTATAAACATTTCTGTTGAATAAATATGATATAGTAAGAATAACTAACAAAAAGAAAATCAGATTTTGATAAAACAATATGGATTCAGGTATCAAAAATTTTTATTAATAAAATGATAACGATTTCAATGGACAATGAAGGCCATAAACATTAAACATAAAAGTTACAGTTTTATATATATTTGTTAATCACGATAAAATCTTTTAGAACTTTTGACTAGTTCTCTTTGCCTAGGAAGTCAAGAATTTTTTCAACTGTTCTGGCCTGGAACGTAACTTCTTTTCTATGGTTGTTTTCTTTGAAAAATGTCTTGTAACGTGGCCAATTTTTCATAGAGGAAAACTGGACGTTATCTGCCCTTCTTCCCCCGATCTCCTTAAAACTTATGGGCGCCAGTTGATCTTTAAATAATCGGAACCAACAAACCGGATTAAAACCAAAGCGGAACCGCATTCCCCAGAAACGAAACCAGAAACGTAGAGTTAAAAACAAAACGATCGGAGGAAAGGTGGTAATTTCCCGCGCTGCTCAGGGGTGAGGTTATGGAGAGAGGGGTGGGTCGGGATGGAGACGAGGATTGGGCACCGGAACTCAAATTAAAGCAAAAGAATGGGAAACGAAACTCGAGCCATTAAACAGACTTGATAGATTTATTTCTAAATTAGTTAGGCGTACAAAAGAAAAGCAGAGATAAAGGCAAACAAAAGCAAGGCAGAAATAAAGCAGAAATAAAGGCAGGGTCGGCATAAGCCTTATTGACGATAACAA